TAGATGGGCAGAATTACGTTACGGGCCGTTACGGTTTACTTTTACGGTTACGCTTCAAGCCCCGTACTGTAAAATTACGGCGCCGTAACGGGCCTTACGGAGATACAGAGGACAAAACGAGGATTGATCATTCACGTCGCCTAAATCTACTTCATGTGAATGCGAATCCATGGATGAGGCCGGCTTGGCAGTTCCGGGCCAGCCTGGGAGTAAGACGGACGGAATTTGCAAAGGAGACGAGTGGTAAATGCGAAACCAAATGCTACTCTCTCATCGGTTCGGTTGGATCCGAGCCTCAAAGAACGAGTTTAACAACTATTTGAGCTATCGTAGAGTGCATTACAGTGAATCTCTTTGCCACAATTCTGAAAAAGCAGTTCAGCACCAACCGTAAAGTCGTAAGGCCTTTCCGTAACCGTAAACTGCTTACGTTACGCACGTCGTAACGTAAACCGTAAAAAAACGTTACGCTGCCCATCTATACTTACGAGAGACGGTCGAGAGACGTTGCAGATAACTACTGTCATTACTCGAGACAAGGGTTGTAACACAACGAAGCTGCCATGCCTTCTACACTCTATATGGTTGTTGGGATGATGACATTTATGATCAAGTGGCAACAGCTGGAAGGGTGGTGATAGGAAGGACACAACAAGCAACAACGGAAGGGACAATGTATCACAGTTAATGATGATGATGCTGGTGATGATGATGAAACTGCACGAAGAGGCCTCCAGCGAGATACAATCACTGAAGGCCCCCACATGACAATTATAGAGCGTAGAGAGCGATGTGTAGTCAAGGGCGTAGGACCTCCCAAGGGGTAAGGTAGTCTATAGTAGGCATCTGGTCATCCTCCCAACACCAATATCCATCCAAGTGATTATAGTAGTACACGAGCTGAGGCAAGAGGACTATAACTAATGAGCGTACACGGCTGTGGGGAGTAGTACACCAGTGCCTGCTGATAACTTCTGCCAATAGGCTATATGTGTCGATCTAGCTGAGGATACGTGCTTCAAATGCTTCTTACCCTTGAAGTGCTCTGTCCACTTCCACCACCTATGTGATGCATGTCCAACCTACTACCATACTGACCATCTACCCATCTGGTTTGGCTTCACATAAACAACAATACATCGCATCGTATACACAATGGGCCGGTGCATAGAATCCGCCCTCTAGACCTGAATATACACAATACTAGATTATGACGGGACGGAGCGATGATGATGATGACTACCTTCAAAGTCGACTATACCATGTGTACGAGGTTCGCCTGCTGTAGTCCAGAACTGTCTATTGCACTGACTCGTGTAATCATCCATCTCCACATTATCAAGCCATCCACTAACCTGAAGAACTTCATCATGACCATTCTGTCAGGGTTGTTAACCCCGACCCTCAGTACTACTGGATCAGAAGGTATATGATGCTGATCATTGGGATCCTCGTTACCATGCACCACATCTATAACACCCGACCGAGCTGACCGAAGGGTTGTTGGTATACGTTGAGTAGCATCAGCAGCAGCAGCAGGGATAGTTGACGTTGCTATCGTTGTGTCGTTGGCCCTGGCGCTATCATCACTCTGCGAATACCGCTCCCATTCGAGGTAGTTCAAATTCTTCTGATGCCGCTTCCCCTTGATATGGTCCCGTAACTGTGCTTCATGTACAACGGTAGTATCTAGTGTAAAGGGACATGTTATCATTATCACTAGAGTCAATAGTACTACCACAAAGAGAGCATAGGAAACCTCCTTCCAACATCTTCCAATGAGTGTCCTTCAACACCACTGGGTCAGTAACCTCATATGACTCAGACTCGTTCTTAGGAGGAGACCTACGAGAGATAGTAGAGATGATATATTAATACACATGACACCACCTGGCACTAGATGATGAAGTCTCCCCTGACCGGGCCTCTTTCTCCTCCTCCTCCTCATCGTCATCTGATATCACCACACAATATGATGATGACATGCTCGAGTCGGTAGACATGGACGGGGCAACCTGTAACGTAGGAGGTATGGAGAGTGGTAGACGGTATTACGTGTGAGTTAGGGGTAACCCATCTAGGTGTAACACCATTCACTTCATCATCATTGGAGTAGTGGAGGTCATCTGAGGCCATGATGATGAAGACGGTTATAGTAGTACAAGTATACTACTTCCCAACCTGTTCACCAATCGGCGTCTTAGTAGATCATCATCATCCGTAGTCTCCTCATGCCGCCTATACCAACAACAGATCATGTTGACAAGATGCAAGTTGTCTACCTGGTGTACCGCCACCCAGAGTTGCTCGAAGGTCGAAGATTATCACACGGCGAGATGTCCCCGGACATTAACAAAATAGAAACGCTCCTCTAGAATACGTGGTAAACTAGGCAGAAGAGTTCTACACTAATCATTATGGTCGAGCATGACACAAGCAGCGCATATATTGGGAGTTAGTGTTGGTTATCGAGTGCAGGACTACTCTGTACCAATCCTTCCATAGTTATCATCGATATAGTTATCGGCTACCACACTGTCCTTTCTCAAAGATATAGGAGCCCAGCCATAGGGTTAGCAGTGGGGGAATATATGTTTCGTTTCCTCAACTGAGCTCGTAAACTTTCTCACTATACTATGAAAAATTCACGCGACTTTGGGTAGAAGTGTACAAAAATCAACGATAATTTCTCAAACTTTCCATATTCCTAGCAACACATGTAGCTGACCATGTGCATACATTCCCACACTGAGGGTTAGTATAGCGGATGAACATGCCTCCATCTGCATACATCTAACCGTCCCCCCTCACTGTCGTGCCTGGTCCAGCATCCCTATCTACATAATCAA